TATACTTGACTTTTCTTAGGAGCATATAAAACAAAACAGCTCCTTGGACAATATTAAATGTAATATTGTAGTAGTTATAAACAAAGGTTTATTTTAGTTCAGATTAACATTTGAGTGAAGCAATTTTATTCATAATGTCAAAATAAAACCGACTTAATGTTACTTGAAAGCATTATAGCCTACTATTCCTGCCAAACTTCCATGGTTACAGTTAGTAGTGTTACTACAGTAAATCCATGGTGAATGTTGCTGATCTGTGGACAGTGAATAGTTCATTCATGGCACAATGTTTCTTCCTTGTTTCCACGTCAGCACTGTTTGATCCGTTAATAACGGAGAAATGTGAATGTTTCTCACTAGATCTCGCAGCGATGTTATTACTTCAGTGGCGAATTCAAATGTTTTCTTTACTGGATTTCGCTGTGTAGTAACAGTCCCCCCCAAGTCCTATTCGTCCGCCTCACCGTGGCGGGGGGGTGAAACAGGAGTCTGTCGTCGATGTACAGCGGGAAGCAATTCCTGGTAGGTTCAACCATGCTGAGAAGATGATAGACACCTGGCTAAGGACGAGGGCACAGACCTAGTGGCCTTGCAAGCCGAGGTCTGAACCCAACTGCAACGACAACGACAAACAAGGGCCTCAGTACCCTGCACGCCCCTGCGCCCGTTCTACGGCGGCGGAACGACCCGGCCAGGGACGAGAGGCTGCTAAGAATCTCAGGTACTAGGCCGCCATCTGGAAACCGACTAAAGGACCGGACTATTAACACCATGGCGCTCGACATTGCTACCTTCAATGCCAGGACTGTGTCAAGTGAGGCTAACCTGGCTGCCATCCTGGAAAGTTTGAACAGCATCCGTTGCGACGTGTTGGGGCTGTGCGAGACCAAGCGCCGGGAGCCGCTGCACGTGCGCCATGACGACGGCAGGACGGTCATCTTGGGCGCCAGGGAAGAGACGCGGCCTGTCGGTGGTGTCGGCTTCATTGTATCCAAACGATGGTCGCCGATGATTGACCTGGTCGACGTGACCAACCCCCGAGTCGGCGTGCTCACCCTGCGCCTGCACAACAAAGCCACCATCCGGATCGTGCAGATATATGCACCAACAGCAGCAGCTGCGGCCGAGCAAGATGAGGATGTGCTTGAGCAGTTTTACGAGGCCGTCGAGGCAGCCACTACCCCCCTTGCCACCTACCTCGTCCTGATGGGCGACTTCAACGCCAAGGTGGGCAAGGGGTTGGACGGCGAGCGCTTTGTTGGCCCCTTCGGCAGCGGCAACAGGAACGGACCGGGTGAGCGACTGGTTGCAATGGCCTAGGCCAACCGGCTGTTCATCGGCAACAGTTTGTTTAAGAAGCGACCCGGCCGCCGATGGACATGGATGTCTCCCAATGGAGAGACAACCAACGAGATCGACTATGTCCTCTGCAGCCACCGCCGCATCCTGCAGGACGTCGCTGTCATTGGCCGCAAGTTCTTTGACACGGGCAGCGACCATCGGCCGGTAAGGGCCAAGCTGGTCATCCACGGCAGGACCGAAAAGCGCGCACTGGCAGCCAGCAACCGGGCAAAGCAGCCGGTCAACACTGATCTGGCCGTTTTCCACACTCTGATCAACCGAACCAACTGGGCCCAGCTTGAGCTTGAAACCGACATCGACCAGGACTACGACCACTTTATTGGCCTGCTCAAGTCAAGCCGAGATGCAGCTGCAGTGCCGACCAACAGCCGGCCAGCCGAATTTCGGACACCACCAAGGCCCTGATGCAGAGGCGGCGGCAGATGCGCGCTGACGGACCCACACACGTCGAGTACGGCCTGCTGTGCAAGCAGATCCGGCAGCAGCTCAAGACTGACCTCGATCAATACAGACAGAGGCGCCTGCTGGCGACAGCCGAGGACCGCAAGAGCCTGAAAAAATGCAGGCGGGCGATGCAACAGCAGCGCGGCCAAATACCAGCACTGAAGACGGCAGACGGGCGGACGATCAGGACTCGGTCCGGTATTGAGGCCGAGTGCAGGCGCTTCTATAGTGACCTATTCGCCAGCAAGGTTCCCGTCCCCCCACCTAACCTTCAGCTCGACCAGCTGCCGCCCATTCTGCCAGTACTGGAAAGCGAGGTCCGACATGCAGTCGAGCAGGCACAGGCAGACCGGGCGCCCGGCCTGGACGGCGTTGAGATCGATCTACTCAAAGCCGGCGGCCACTCACTTTGGATGGCCATGGCGGCCCGATTCAGCCGCTACATGGCACAATGTCAAATCCCCAAACAGTGGAAGACGGCCAAGACAGTACTGCTGTTCAAGAAGGGCGACCGCGAGCTGCTCAGTAACTACCGGCCAATCACATTGCTGTCGGCCGTGTATAAGATCTTCACCAAGGTGCTGCTCAACCGGTTGGCCAAGCAGCTAGACGAACAACAGCCCGTCGAGCAGGCCGGATTTAGATCTGGCTTTAGCACCATGGACCATGTGCAGGTACTGAACCAGCTGCTCGAGCGGGCCAGGGAGTATAAGATGCCGCTGGTCCTGGCCTTCGTCGACTACGAGAAGGCCTTCGACTCGGTCGAGATTAACGCCGTGTTGCTCGCCCTCCAACAACAAGGCATCGGTGATGAGCATGTGGCCCTGCTGCAGGAGCTGAACAGCAACTGCGCCACCACTATCACCCTGTTCGACCGGCCGCTTAGCATCGAGGTCGGCCGCGGGGTCAAGCAGGGAGACACCATCTCGCCCAAGCTTTTCACCGCCTGCCTCGAGCAAATTTTCCGGCAGCTCAACTGGGACGAGGTCGGCATCAAGATCAACGGCCGCTGGCTCAATCACCTGCGTTTTGCCGATGACATCGTGCTGATAGGCTGTTCGACGGTCGATGTACAGCAGCGGCTCGACCAGCTCAATCAGGCTGGTGCTCGGTTCGGCCTCAAAATCAATCTGGCTAAAACTAAGTGGATGCGCAACGTCCAGGCGGCCGACACCACCCTTTATGTCGGCCAGCACCAGCTCCAGCAAGTAGATAGTTATATCTACTTGGGCTACTTGGAGCTGACCACCGACCACAAGATTGGCCGAGAACTGGCACGACGACGCCGAGCCGCCTCGGTCAGCTTTGGCTCAATTGCCGAGACGGCCACCAACAGAGCCATTGATCCGGACATCAGGGCCACCCTATTCAACAGCACCGTCCTGCCGGCCATGCTATACGGGGCCGAGACCTGGACAACAACGGCGGCCGACCGGCAAAAGCTGGCCGTGACTGAACGCGCAATCGAGCGACGCATGATTGGGGTTAAACAGATCGACCACGTCCGCAACGAGCAGCTGCGGGCCATGACCAGGGTGGCCGACGCGGTGGACCTGGCAAGGCCAAGAAGCGCTGGGCCGGGCACCTGATGCGGCAGACAGATGAAAGATGGACGCGAGAAGTCACCGTCTGGTTGCCGATCGACATCAAGCGGCCACGTGGACGTCCTGCAACACGATGGCGTGACTCGCTACGACAAGATCTGGGACAAAGTTGGATGGGGCTCGCCCAGAACCGACAGATCTGGGCAGATCGTTGTGGTCTGCGCTGACCACCTTTGGCCGGCGAAGACAGACCTATTCTGGATTCTGAGTAACAGTGCTGCTTGATCAAGATCGGCTCGCGCTGCATTGGTCCAAACTGATAAACAGTTCGTCAACCACACAATAACGAGTAGATTAGTTTCGTTCCGCTTACATTAGCCATTTGATGTTGGGCAATGTTGTGGTCACGCCAGTGTCTCTTACATTATGAGCGCGCTTGCCACGCGCGACGCGCCTACATTTGAAATAACGAAATTTTGGTCACCAGGAAAAACGGTCCAATGAACCGTTCGGTTTGAAAATGCGCACCGAAAACTGAACCAAAAGCCTCGTACCGAACGGTTCAATACGTGTTCCGTTACACCCCTGTCAAAAAATAAGCCGATCAGATTTCGCTCCCCATCTGACGTTGGAAGGGGATCTTATTATAATATTGCCGACCCTTAATCTGCATGTTTCCACCCACGGTGCTGCCATTTGGTTTTCACAAGCAACAACAGTGTAACCAGTTCTAACGCAATGGCAAAAGTTCGAGAAAAGCATGCAAACTGTTCTGTCGTTGCTGCACAGATGAGCACAGAACACTATTTGACCAAATGTCACAGCTGTCTTATAAAGACCTCAGGGAACTGTGTCAACTTGTGTAAAAGTTAAACACGACGGTACATGCAAGTCGAAGAGATGAATCAATGTAACTCCACAACAACTACATAAAAGTATCCACTAACCATTCAGAAACGTCCAGGTCCAGTCTAAAAGTTGCTGCACTCCGCTACTGTTGGTTATTTCTGAAATTTGACTGAAATTTGCGTTTGTTATTGCCACTCAAAAACGGCACGTTTTTGCTCACACCCAAAAAGGGGGGCAAATTTGACAAGCTATAATAACTTATCTGGGGGGTATTTTGAGGTGAAACTTCACAGACACATTCTGGGTACACCATAGATTTATACTACATCTTGTGAAAATGGGCATGATATGCCACCTTGGCTTGAAGTAAACAGTCATGTAGGCAGATCAACAATTTGCCAGTGTTGGGCTACAGCTATGAGGCTTGCTAAGATACAAACTACTGTATATATGAATGTTTTTAAACAATTGTTTAAAAAAAAAAAATTCAACATCGATTGAACACCGATACATGATTTCTACTAGCAATGTTACAACCTTGCTAATGAGAAATGTAATTAAAATACTAACTTAATTATTTGTACTGTAGTGATAACAACCAGGTCTAGAGTTTGAACTAAAACCCATCACTGTTTTATTTTGCAGATAACCTTTTTGTTAGCAAACATGATTGATGGTACATGACAGCTAGGAGAATGAATCATCGAAAGATGATACAGTGTGTTTGACCTCTGACCTCAGGACAGTCCACTGACCCCTCACTGACCTCTGATGTTGTGTTTCTCTCTCTCTCTCTTTCAGTAAAACCATACAGGTTAAGATTATCGATGATGAGGAGTATGAAAAAAACAAAAACTTTTACCTGGAGCTAGCTGAACCACGCATGGTGGACATGAGCCTCCAGAAAGGTAAAACACACAGTGTACTCATAGAAAAACCACATCCCGCTGTTCATCGTTTCATTCATCTCTAAATTCCTTTTGATTCATCCAGTGGCTCTTTATCAGGTCATTACAGCATATGACCATCACCATGAGTGTATATGTGTTATTCTGCTGTCTTCATGTTTCATGATGTTTTCATCGGTAGCAGCAAGCGTCTTGTTGTTTTATGAGATTCACGAAATAGTACGTTCACGTACACTCAAATGTCTGGGGGCAGTAAGATTTGTTTTTGAAAGAATATTGTTTTTTTTAGCAAGTACGCATTAATTTGATCAAAAGTGACAGTAAATGCAGTTCTTATGAACTTGCTATTCATCAAAGAATCCTGAAGAAATGTCACCGTTTCCCACAACATGTTTCTTGAGCAGCAAATCAGGATTTTAGAATGATTTCTGAAGGATCATGTGACACTGAAGACTTGAGTAATGATGCTGCAAATTCATCTTTGCCATCACAGGAATAAAGGACATTTTAAAATATATTTAAAAGTTAAAGGTGCTCTATGTAACTTGTCTACTAAAATGAATCCTTTTTTTATTGCCTGTGTGTGAAGGGGTTGTAATCACACATTAAAATGATCCACTTGTCGAGTATTGCTATTACCTTCGAAGGCCAGTATTCCTATTTCTATGTGAAGTCTCCGGGTCGGATTTACCGCGAAATCCAACGGATGTGACGTGCATGCGCGCTCCCGAGCCTCTCTCCTTATATACGGTCTATTGTAGACGGTCAGGGAGTTACGTCCGGTTAAAGGCGCACATTTTTCGGCTTATATCTCAGTCAATCTTTGATCAATATTCCCAAGACTCTAATCGTTCGTAGTGCTGGACGGGGCCTTTCGAACGAGCCCACCCCCGAGGTCCAACTCGCCCGGCTCCCCGAGTTATAGCCGTTCGAAATCGGGGGTCCCAGCGAACGGCGATCCGGTAGGGGGCATCCCCGAGGCCCGCCACTCTAGCGTTCGGGCAAGGGTTCCCCTGGGACCTCCTCCCCCGAATTTGACCTCTCTGGGTCTTGAGATACGAGCGATTTTCTTCTGAGATTGTGACGTCACCGGCGTCCGCAATTTTGCAGCGCGCCCGATGGTTTTCTGCTAATATCTCCGCGAAAACACCACCAAAAACTATGAAACTTATATGGTTCTTTTCAGCTCGACTAGATGGTCCCTACGAGCTCGGTGCTCGCCAAATCCGTCTAGTATTCGCCGAGATATTTGCGTAATAAACAGTATTGTCTATGAGTTCGAGCACGAGCGCTCTTGTAAAATTTGGTTGCAATCTGAAACATCACCACTAGAGGCCGCTAAAAGTTACATAGAGCACCTTTAAAATTGTAATAATATTTCTAGGGGTGACCCCGAATAGATTCGATGCTTCGATAGGAGGAGCTTGATTCGACTTGATCTCGCGGTCGAATCTTCGCAGATGTGTTATTAAACAAGGATCATGTCATTTAGGCTATATGAGTGTGCTCAATGTCTGATTTTACATAGAACTACTGGTTTTCTGTCAATACGTTAATATACAGCCTATTATGATAATGCTGTCAATAAAAATGTGCAAAGAAAGAAGCTTTTAATAAATATTTTTTAACGTGCGTGCAGCGTGAATAAATCCCAAAACCCTGTGACAGATTTAAGTTTCACTTTCGATCCGTGACCGTCAGAGGAGCGTCTTGTCGGCAGGGATTTAAATCTTTAAAAATGTCTGGGATAAGAAAATCTAAAGATGCACACCATCAGAAAGGATATTCTCCAAGGCTGGATTTAGCATCAGGAAAACCATGATCGCACCTCTGCCGGCCAAAGTTAACAGGTTGGTTTTCCTCGGGACGTTCTAAAACGCTTAACGTAAAAAAAGCTTTTAAAACGCTTAAATGGCACTTTTAGTGTGCTTAATGTATGTACACAGTAGGCTACACACCTTAAGAAACCATTCTATGTGCAGATAAGCAGATGAACCCAGAATATGAACGCAACGCGTTTCTCCTATAGAAAGTCACGTAAAGCTTTTTCTTTAACGGTTTTCAATGGGAGGAAAATGCTTAATGTAGCCTATAATAAAACGCGTTGCGTTCATATTCTGGGCTCATCTGCTTTTCTGTAGGCTATATAGTATGCTTTATTAATAAGGTGTTTATAGAATTTGATCTTTTAATATAACAGTTTTAGGACAAAGCCATTAAGGGTTTTTCACGTTAAGCATTTTAGAATGTATTTTATCCGCGCACACAATTTGAAAAGACTCAAACGGACACAGGCCGAGTGAAAAACTGGATTTTGTTTTTTCGATCAGGTATGTGTACAAGTGATTTCAAAACATTTCAGCCGGTTCTAATTTGATTTTTGGATACTGTGAACACGTTTAGCTAAAAAGACTGCCGCTCCAGTTTAGCGTTTATTGTTGTTTCTGCAGTTAAAAAGACAAAGTTGACAATCCTGGCCATACTTTCGTTATTTTAATAATTTCTTTATTTTTATTTTATTAATTGATCACTCAGGGTGATCTAATTTAACTATTTGTGACTTGTGTTTTGAATATTTGTTCCCCTGCACTTTAGGCATTTTGCACACATTTGTTCTGCTTCTTGTGACTTGATTCTGACTTATTTCGTTTTGTATTTTTATTTATTATAAATGTATATTGTGTTCTTAATTGTTGATTATTTTTCAGTGCATCGATGTTGCGCTGTGGCTTACTTAGAGCATGCTCGTATACAGGCAATTCAGCCGATTTAATTTGATTTGCATGTGAAATGCAAATCCTATCTGCAGTGTGGCCTTTCTGCAGTTATTTGTTATTTCTTAGTTTTATTGATCCAAAATGTTTTTATACATTTTCTTCTATATCTTTGTGTGATGTTCTGTACATCGGGGCTTTAAAATGTTAAAGCCCCGCCCCCTCCCCAACACCACACACATGATTCGACTATTAGTCGACTATAGGCAGGACTTGACGAATCTGATTCGACTATGAAAACCCTTAGTCGGGGACACCCCTAACACAATATTAATGTTTTTACTGTATTTCTGATTAAATAAATACAGTCTTGGATGTGCATAAGAGACTTCTTTCAAAAACATCAACAAATCTTACCAACCCCAAACTTTTGAATGGTAGTCAGTATAATCAGCTTTTACTGGATTTTGACTACAATTGTGCAAATTTTCTGACTGTATGAATGATTGCTACCAGTAGAGGGCACCCAGGATAAACCCGCAGATTCAAATAGAGTCAGTATAAGGAGGAGATGGACCACTCATACCAAAATTAATGGGAAAAATCACAACCCTCAATTTTGCGGCTGTGTTTAAGCCATGGTGTTGAAAGTAGCCCACTTGCTAACATAATATACAAGCTAATATAAAAATATATAAATAAAAAAGACACTAACTGCCTTAATGATAAAAGGCATGATGTATTTTGCTTTCTTTGAACTGAAGAAGCTATCTTTGTCAGATATTATTTCTTATATACATTATTGAAACATAAGGTTAGCCAAACTTTCTGAGATATCCCAATTCAAGTTGATAAGATGCCTATTGCCTATATAAAATATCTACCTAGGGGCATGGCCAAGATGGCCGCCAAGTGGACTGACTTGCCTAAAAGGGAATTTTACTCAAAGCGCATGAATCCAATGAAGACCCACAGGGCGCAGTTCTCAAACTGACTAATCTCCGACTCACACGAGAAATGTTGTGATGACATTTTTGTGATGCTTTAAAAATGGCTACGTTCCTGTCTTTCAGTTTTTATATAGACCTTATGCACCAGAGAAACGAGGGCGCTGCCATCTTTAGAATATTGTCTTTGAACTTCCGTTTTTGCGGTCGCTGAGTATATTTCTATGGCATCGCTGTCCGGGAGTAATTAGCTGGTTAAGTTGATTTACTTATTGTAGAGTTAACGAAAGTTATCATGAGCATTGTAATGTTTATGATAAGCATTGTAAAGCATATGTCTTAACAAATGGAACTTGGGAATTTTTTTAACGAGCCGTTCATTCATAACTACGCAAGATCGCTGTGAAAATACAGACCGGAAGTCAAAAGACAATGAGCTCAGCGCGGAAAAGGGGCGTGGCTGCATAAGGTCTATAGTTTCAAAAATGCCTTAAAGGGATAGTTCACTTTGAAATAAATTTTTGATATGTTTTAGCTTACCTCAAGGGCATCCAATATGTAGGTGTCTTTGTTTCCGCAGTAGTTTCAATTTTGATATTTTTAGGTCAAACCGTTCTTGTCTGTCAGTCATATAATGGCGCTTTTCCACTGCATGGAACGGTACGGTTCGGTTCGGTACGGCACGCTTTGGCGCTTTTCCACTGCATGGTACAGTACGGCTCGGTTCGGTACAGCTCACTTATGGCGCATTTCCACTGCATGGTACGGTACGGTACGGCTCGCTTCGGCTCGCTTTAAATGGTACCTGCTCTGTTGAGGTTCCAAGCGTACCGTACCGATACTAAATGTGACGTGAAAACACTACAGATCACTGATTGGTCAGAGAGACAGAATCGTCACTATCAGCGTCATTGTATTTGCGACACGAGACACTAAACCCACTCGATTTAAATAGCCAGTAGACAACAGCCACCGCTGTAGCACCTGTTTTAAAACTACTTGCTTGACTTGCTTGAAGAAAAAAGAAAGAAAGAAAACTTCCATAAAAAAGAAATGGCTGAATCGTGGTCAGTGGACGAAGTGCAGACGTTCGTCTCGTTGGTTGCCGAGGAGCGGATAAACTATAACGGTCCGACTATAATCCCACCCACTTTGAAGCGGTACTAACTGCAGTGGAAAAGCAAACCGAGCTAAAGCGAGCCGAGTCGTACCAGCAGTGGAAAAGCGAAGCGAGCCAACCGTGTCGCGCCGAGCCGCACCGTACTGAGCCGTACCGATCTGTACCAGCAGTGGAAAAGAGCCATAAAGCAGCTCTATGGTCACCACCTCAAAGAGCATG